TTTTCCCCCTTCTGTTTTGATGTATGAGTTAAATGTGTTACTGGCTCTTTTTTCTGAATTTCAATCTCATGTCATTAGTGTATATTTGATATTCTCATGTCTAGTTTCTTTCCAGTTAGGCTTATTGTGTGTTTGAGCTTGAATTTTGAATTATTATTTTTTTTTAAAAGAGAGAAAAAGGAAAACGTGTTAGTATCTGTTGGGCGTTGGCGATTTCTAAATTCAAGAAGTAAGTTTTGAATTCTTGGTGAGAGTATGTTACACTAAGGATTAGACACAACATCAGACAACTCATAAATCCACAATTTAGTATGTTACTTTAAGAGGCTTCTATTTTTTTTGAGGCTTTGGAGGTTGATTGAAAATTGGTTTTAATGTATTTAATTCTTCTACAATCATTTGTTTGTCAGGTTGTGAGCCTTTAAGGTGTTAATCCTTTTAGCTGTGACTGAGTATTATTGTGGTGTCAATATGTTGAAAGTTTGCCTCAAGCTTAGCTATGACCATGACATATTGACAACTTGTTTGTCCATGAGCAAATTAGTTGGTTGTTTGGTTTGATTTGTTCTTATCATGAAAGATGAACGTAGGTTGCGGAAGGGGAAAAAGATCGAGTCCATAGTAATTTTATTTTTTGCCTCGCATGCTTTAGGGTTGGACTCAGTCTGAATATATAAAAAATGGAAAATTAAAAGAATTTGAGCACGAGTTGAATCTTCCTTCTACTTAATTCTTTTATTTACTTTATTTACTCCATTATCCGCTAGTAGCATGTTTAGGCCGTCATCATTTGGGTAGGCAAGCCTTAGAATGTTTAGTTTAATTTATAATGTTTGAACGTAAGGTGAGAGGTTGTCCCTTAGATAAATTCATCCGGGGAATGCCCCGTGGACTTTGTAAATATTTTAACCCGGGGAATGGCCCGAAGTAAATGTAAATAGAGGTCATGGCATCATCAATGGAGGCGTAGTACAGGCTAGGAGGACTTATTTCATTTTGTTTTATTTTTTTTTTATTAGGAAGGGACAACCTGTCACGACCCAAAATCCACTGAGGGTTGCGGTGGCGCCGGACATCGTTGTCAGGCAAGCCAACCAAAATACTTAATTAAATTTCAATTTTTGTATTGTCTAAAATCATTTTTCTTTATACATTAAATAACGAATAATAAAATTGACAGAAACAACCGCGAAATCTTTAACAAAACTTAACATTTAATAATCCGAAAATCCTACCCGAACCCGGTGTCACAAGTGCATGAGCAATTTCTAAGAAACAATGCAATACAACAATCGTCCGGAATACAATGTTGGACAGAAATAAATACAGAAAACTGAAAGAGACTCTATTGGCTGCGGATCGCCTCGAGGAGTGCAGCTCACCTAAGTCTTCGTGTCATCTGTGCTGCTACGCCCAGTAGGCCACTAGAGATGCATATGCCTGTGCAACAAAAATGCACAGAAGTGTAGTATGAGTACGAAAATAACGTGTACCCAATGAGTATCCCGTCTAATCTCGAAGAAGTAGAGACGAGATGGTCGACTTCGACACTTACTAATGGTCCAATGATGATATATTCATAATGTATTAAATCGTGAATTTTTATAAACATGATTATAATTCAATGGGTTGAAGAAAATAAGCAATTCTTTCTTTTATATGAAATCATTCCTTTTCATCATTTATACATATATTCTTAAGCCAGAAAGAGGCACAAACAACTTCAATAAGTTTCAAGCCAAGCAATACAAGCATGCGCAAATCATGCCGAGGTCGACAGCCCGCTCCAACAGAAATTTAAACTGTGCACTGCCGAGGGTCGAACGGCGCGAACCATATATGCATCTATTTAATCTGCCGAGGCGTTCGGCCCGCTCCAAAAATAAACACGTAGAGACAGTCAATCAAGAAGTCAACATGGAACAATTATTCAAAGAAAAGCTAATTCTCTTTTAACAATTTAAGAAAATGAGGTATAGATCTTTTTAGAAATTCATTTACTAATTCAATGTGATTTAAGCAGTTCAACTATCCATAAGTTTATAAATATTCCAAGTATAGCATGCTTTGGGTTCCTAGACTACCCAGACAATAGCATAAATAGTAGCTACGCACGGACTCTCGTCACCTCGTGCGTACGTAGCCCCCACAAATAGGAGCACATAGCCAATTAACTCACCTATGGGGACAATTCCCTCTTACAAGGTTAGAAAGGAGACTCACCTCGCTCCAAAGTTCCATAACCGGCATTCCACGCCCTTTCGAAGACTCAAATCGATGCAAAAATTCTCCAAAACTTGCCAATAATTATATAAACCCATTAATATATGTTCAATTACTCATTATAGTCCAATTTATAACAAATTCCTAACCCCGAACGAAAAGTTGACAAAATTGCCCTCGGGCCCACGTGCCCGGATTCCGAAATTTTCCGAAGATAAAGTTTACCCATGACCTTACGAACTCAAAGATATAATTTATTCTCAATCCATGCCCAAAATCGTGGTCAAAATCCAAAAATCTCAATTTCTAGGTTTTTCTTTAAAACCCCAAATTCTCTCTTAGATTCTCATGGATTTTGATGTTAAATCTAAGGTATAATCACAAAATATAATTGAAAATTAGTTAGTGGAACTTACCCAATGATTTGATACAAAAATCCACTCTCAAAATCGCCCACTCTCGGACCTAGGGCTCAAAATATGATAAAATGAAGCAAAAACTCGAGTTACACAGCTAAAATCAAGCTGCAGATGTCGCATTTGCGATCCAGGGTTCGCAATTGTGAACCCTCGCAAAAGCGAAGAAAGCCTTCACAATTGAGAACAAAGAAGGGCTGGAAAAGGTCGCATATGCGACATAAAGTTCGCAATTGAGAATTAGGCATCGCAATTGCGATGGATATGTTCGCAATTGCGACCATACCAGAAGCAGCAGTTTTTTCCGACACAAAAATGAGCATAACTTCCTC